CCATGCGAAGTATCAAACCAGATAAACGATATTCCGTTATTAGATTCAAAACTATGACATACAGACATGCAAACCCACAAACTTATGAAAAAAGGAACACAAAGCTACCGCCTCTTAACAGCCGTACTCAGAAAAACGTACTTACGAGGATAGAAAAGACACTTTTCATGACAGCACTGTTCAGCGCATCGTCGATCGGCATGGTTGAAGCGGCTAGCCAGGAGCCGATACACTTGAAAATCTTCGGCAGTATATCCGCGTTGGCGCCATGGGATTCAATGCATTTGTCCTAAAGCTAAGACGTTAAGATGCACATACTGTGACACCAGAATAACAGGCTATAACAGGCATTCATCTATCATATCCCATAGTTATCGTTTGGTTAAAAAACTATCCACAAAACCGGCCTTGTACTTAAGAGACAAAGAACGACTGAACGAACAGAATCATTCAAACATAAGTTAGTTCCAGCCTTTGGCCAAGAAACAATAAGAATTACAAGGATATCAGCAAACAATTTCTATGGTCCTTTGAGCGCTCAAAACTGGCCAGCTGATGCAACGTCGACATGTGAAGTTTTCATATTTAGGAAGAGCCGATCTTTCCTATTCACCCATTACACTTTCGGTCATTCAGCTCATTTTCAAAATCTCCTGCTCTTTTTGGCTCCTGGAGAAAACAACTTCAAGAGTTGTGTCCAACGGCGTCCTCCATTACCTGCAACAGCTCCAAGAGATATTTACAGGTATTATAAGATTAAAACCTTCAGCATTTAGTCCCATTTCCTGTTATTTCATTGATCACAGCAACACTAAGTTTTCTTTTAAAGACGTTCATACATAAATATATTAGCCCAGAATATAATTAATATAACATCATAGTAGCCAGTGAATAACTCCATCAGGAAACGACGAAAGCACTTGCTATGCCTGAGGAACTTAGCAGATATTACAGAAATTATTCATTATGTAACCAACGTTTATTTTAACTACACCGCCAAAATCTCAAGACACTAGGAGCACACTTCGACTATCATATATATGGAGATGTCAGGCAATATGTCTAAATTTCTGAGCCGGCTAACGGCTTTCAGAGTAGTATACTGGATAAACATTGCACAAATTAAACTGATGTAACACTGGGCAGGAATAACCAACCGTTGCTGGACCAGAGGATATAAGTCATTAGGAAGACCGCTAAATCGAGGAAAAGTAAGCTAAAGGAATTCGTCAAATCAAGATAGATAAAAATCACAGAAAACAAAAGTTTAGGACAGACTCTCAACCAGAATTGGATCGAAAAAGACTGACGACGATGATGTTACTGGACATTAATGACACAGAATGAAACTGCATAAAACAGAATTTCTGAAGCGCTTTGGCATATCTTCTATGGCCTGGTCTTCATGATCTCAGTTTCCCAGTAGACTTTATTTTTCAACTGCGAAACGAATTATTGTAACGGCGTTGTCAAGGCAGGCCAAATATGGTTCTGCTTTATACGAATCGCATTACTCACTTAATATGGTTAAGCATTTAGCTCCTTTTCTTCCAATATTTTAATTATCATACCACGTGATCTCAACAAATGTCATAAGGTTTTGCTGTTGTATTCCCAAACGCCCTAACGAAATCAAACAATAACTGGCGAATGAAGGTTTTCGAATCTACTATAAAACGAGCAAATCATAAGCATCGCTGTCTACCGGAAACTTCATTAACTACAAAAAAAGAAAGGAAGATTGAACGCGATCGATAAGATCGAGTGCAACGATTGAAACAAGATCTACATCGCATCTAATAGCTTTGAGGACTGAAAAGCGGAATATAGTTCCCTATGCCTTCTACTTGGAACACTCCTTTAATTCGACGAATGTCGTTTCCGTTGATAAAGAGAAACAAACATTAGGCTATTAGTTAAACAATAATTGCACTTGTTAGCCAACAACAATACCCAACTTTCTAAAGAATGTACGAACTTGTATTGCTTGAGTGACAGCTAGAATATCATAGGCTGACTTATTCAAAGGAGTTAATGGAAAAAAATACGGTAACTCAATTATTACATAGCTCCGCCGTTTTCATAACATCGTGATATTTGCTTGGTATATTACGGCGTCGAAGCATGCCGGAAAATGAACGATTTTACGCTGTACTTTTCAGCTGTTACCTTGAACTATTGATCCATTATTCAAATAAGCAATAAATCAGTACCTCCTTTCATACTTAATAGATCGTGCTGTTTTTTGCCTTCTTAAACGAAGGTTACACCTGCCTGTTGAATCTGAAGAATCAGACAATTTTTTCGTTAGTTTGAAACTGCCTTATATATCTAATAATTGGCTAGCGCGATGTTGAGAATCAGATTTGCAAAGAAATTCCTATTCGTAATGTACAACGTATGGTTTGGACAAATGTTACGAAAAACTACCAGAAAACTAAGCAGCATCGTTGCGTGAGGCAGAAACTCATTGCGAATCTCGGACCGTCTATTTTCGCCGATGCGCAACCTCGAGTGAACAAGTTCTTCGGTAAGGAACGCCAGAATTTCCAGCAGGATGCCGATGTCGGTGCTGCTTTTCTGGAACCTGTCGATGATCTCTACAACGCAGTTTTTCCAGGCCGGCACTTGCAAGTACAAATCAGCCACCGCCAAGCACAACTGAATGACGATCACATGATTAGTGGCTGAACCGGAGGTACTAAAACAACACTGAGTCAACAGAAGTCGAAATATTTCACGCGCTACCCTACCTGAAATGGGAAAAGAGAGATTCTCTCAAAGCTTCATAACTTTCAGGGGGCAGTTCGTGAAAAGAGGACTGGATCTTCGTTCGCATCGTCTGCGCCGCAAAGTAGCTGGACTCCAGGTCGCGATCCTCGCGAAGTAGGGCGTCTGATATCGACCATGCAAATACCTAAACGGTAGCTTAAAAATAGCTATAAAAAAACCATCGATCAGCAGGGCTGGGCAAGATCAAGTTTTGCTCAAAAACACATTCGCCTCTTTAAGACCAAAAACGTGACATCCGTAGTAACTCGATTTAGTCACATCTCAAATTACCCCACGTATATGAAACTTCACTGTGCTAGCGCCGGGAATTAAGTATGGATAATGATTACCAACTTTACGATCCGGTTTGCAGAGAGACATCCTTTAAAGAGGGGGAATTTTGCCGGGACTGGTAACACCCAGCTTTTCAGCCAATTAATGTACAGTACATAGCGACCATTTCCAGCGACTGTAGCGATTAAAGAGAAATCCGGCGTCACGCTAATGCGCAAGAAATCATTCAGCGTAATCGAGTCGAAAGAAATTCTCTGCTAACAGCAAACCGCCTTAATCACACTGTGGTCCGAGCGAGTGTCCTTTTGGCGTGATGGAAACAGTATTTAAGAGGTTTGATTCAAACACCGGAGGTGCAGGGTTCGACTGCGTTAGGGGGCAATCCTTATCTTACTCACGAATACTCTTGACCAACGAATTTACCACACATTTCTTCAGACAACGTTTGCTCAGTCGATACAGCGTCGAACTCAAAATCTATAGGTTCTAAGTTCATGCCCAGTCACTTGTTCTTCTTCCACCTAAGGATGAAGGAATTAGTACCACTCTGCGGGAAGAAACCAGAAGACTACATACTACGCTTGCCAACTGGCACTGCGTTTAATAAAATAAGGCATTTCTGGCTGATGACATAGAAACACAGATTAGCCCCGCATCATGAAAAGAATGGCGACAAAATATCCCGATCATAAAATTAAAGGAAAACCGACATTCTAACGAAGATAAACTTTCATTTTTCCTAAGGTTGATAGTACGCCAACGCGTAGCACTAAAAACAACAGATCATGAATTGAGCCAAGCAGGAAAACTAAACTGGCAATCGTTATGATCCATGGAATAACGATGAATCAAGTTTGAGGTTTAACGATGAATAATATCATTCTCCTGACCGATAAAGCAAAAAATCTTTGTAACTATGAGGCGAACGGCAAGACGGTTGTCATACCCAGGAATTATCTGTTTCGCTGGATCCTCGAACTTCCGCTACTATGCTCCGAGTCCGTAATTAGCAAAATTTACTTGGCTCCTGTGCTGTGCGACCCGGACCCGTTTCTGACTGACCAGACAGAAAGTCTGAATACATCTGAAGCACTGAATTGTAAACGTTTAAATTTACTGTAAAAATGCTCATTGCCATCATCGCTGTACTATATCATCAGAGAGTAATCCATATAGCTGGTATCACGTCATCACCATCATTACCATTATCTCCATCACGTCCACAAATATCAGAATAAGCTTCTTCGTCACCGTTACTATCATATCATCACAAACAATCATTTTTATCATAATCAGCAGCATCGCAAAAGTTCATCGTCATTAACATGGAATGGGACGCTTCGACTAACGTTGTTTAGACGCAGACCGCTGGCTGCTATTAATGCTCGGTGCAGCGGTCATCTCTAACTACTTTACTTAACCCTACATGTTATATGCAACGGAAAGCTCTCTGTGAAAGAATATTCATATTTAGGAAATTCTGATTATAATTCTACTGTGACAACAGTATGATGTCATTACTTCGGCGCATAATCTTGCGGTCGTGACTTTCAGTCGATCATTCATAAATGGTCATTTGTGTATCAATTACTTAACTTCACCCCTTACGCCACCTACGCCACGAAAGCACTCTGCGAGTAGAATGCGATGTAACTGCCGACTTGTGAATTTTAAAGATTTACATTTTACTTTCTCACTCAGAATACAATGAATGAAACGCAGTTGAAGAAGGTGTACATAACACAGACGAACTGCCGGCTTAATTGCATATACAAATTCACTGCTGTGACAAATTTTACAGATCTACATTTACCAGAAATAGTGTTATTGATATAAAATTATCTGCAAAAAGTAGACCAGCATAAACTACATAAACTGAAACTCGCGACTATGCTGTGAACAGTAAGGATTTAATGAGTTTGCGAAAATGTAAACTTTGAAATTGACGCTTCTAAGAAAAGGAACGTAATGCCACCATGGACAGATCACGAGCAGGCATCATCACGATGGAATCATAAAATAAAAGGGAAATGGCCGAAATTCAAATGCTTTAAATCAACATCGCATTTCGCTCACAGAGAACTTACTACTGAAGCAAAACCCAATGAGTCAAATCAAATTGCGGATGCAAATCATCACTTTCCAGTGGTACAAATTCAAGGCGTTTACAGAAACCAGCGGTCTGCGACCAAGGACTGTGCGCCAAAATGGCTAGGCCAAATCATTACAGATGATTATTATCATTATCTTAATAATCACCAACATAACAATAGTGATCTTATTAAAATCATCGTCACCACAATTAACAGCATGATTGCTCTCATTATCATCATATTATCATTATCACCGGTTTAACTGCATGAGAACAAATACATGGCAGCAAGTTATCAGTAAAATCATTATTCTCAGTCAAGTCCTCGACGTCCTTGTCATCTATCATGAACATCCGCGATCATGAATATCAAGGTCACTATGATTGTTGTCACGGCAGTCATAAACATTCACAATGATAATCCATTATCATCATCAACATGAAAACAACAACCTTAGCATAACTTTGATTACGGTGATCATCATTACCATTACTGTGATTGTGGTGGAGTTATGCAGGCTTTCTGCGAACTCCCCAGCTGCTCAATCTGCAATTTTCGGCATCGTAATACACAACAACACCTACATACCCTACCAAAACGATATCTTTTATGAAACAACTGCGACAATACATACAAAAACATGATGCAACTTTTCATTATCCTCTGCGGCCGGTTTTCATAAGATTTTTGTAAGTTAAATCACAACAGGATCGGTGGTCAGCAAACAACATTGGTATCCATTCTAAAATTTTCAGAAGCCGAAACTTTAATTATTCGAATGTCTCAGGATCGCAAATAAGGCATTTTTCTGCGGTTCGTCCTGAAAACATATGTAGATCTATTCATATCAAACATTTTCCTTCTACATCTGAAACCATAGACAGGAACACCATTCTTATTGATAATTCAATAAAAATCATATTTTAAATGCACCAGGAAGAAACCGAACGATAACGCCCGTAAAAAACAAACTCACCGACTTCTGAAACTCGCCAAGCCATATGGATGCCTTCTCCTTTGCATGTACCTCGGTATCATAATGAAGGGTGCGAATCGCTTGATATACTGTGTCTACGCTTGGCGCTACGTCCATCACTAATCGACTGCCAAGTCTGTCGCTGATCCAAACGGCGAACTTCACTGAGTAGCACCCAAGCCGGCAGTCATTCTATGCGTCAATCGCTGAAAACAAACACATTTGTAAAAGTAAACTTGGAAACTTTAGGTACAATGACTCTAGCAAAGACGATGGCGCAAAAATGATATGAAAAACTTTTCAGTAACGTTACTGTCGTTATAAGTAGCCCGTTTTCTCCATTAGCTGGATATCAGGCTACGCGCCGTCGTCGATACGCTTACGAAGCGAGACATTCGTTACATTTTCACGCAAATCTAATACGTTTACATCTTTGCTGGCCACATTAGAATATCATGGATAACTTTCGGGCAAACACTTCAATGTAGCGTTCATAACTTAAAGTGGAGTAGGTGGAGAAATATAATTACAAATCAATGAAACAGACGCAACTCCGCCATGGCCGGTCCCAAGCCCGGATGAGAAAGGAGGAGGGTTGGAGACCGTGGCAAGTCT